CCGTATATTTACTCACACCGCTTACACATGATAAAGGTTGTTGACAAACTTATGGGAGAAAGTATGTGTCAGAATGCTGATACCGTTTATTTTTAAACTGACACCGTTAAGTTTACATGAAAAGTTATGACTTTTTACGAAAAATCCAAAACCAAGAGATCAATAACCTCGGGACTAGATTAATGCATTTAATTGGTCGGATGTACTATAGTTCTTAACTGTAAACGTTGGTTTTTGGTACTGGTTCTTTTCCTTAGAACAGTTGGTATAGCTGCAAGAATCATTTTTACGTACCAACACATCACTGTAATTTACAAATTAGTTATCGTTGGTGTTGCATCTTATTTATTAGAGCCGTATTCAATTTAATTGATGTCTTAAGTGTATAAGTTTTGCTTTTTCTGCCTGGATTCCAAAATCTTAGCTTACCCGGTATGCTAAGAAAATGATAACCCATTTGAGTAAAACATTTGTGGAGCAAACCATCATGAATTGTTTACGCCTTTAAGCACGGGCGTCGCCGCCATAGGGGTCATGGGGGACGCGTCCCCCCCAATATTTGAAAAGTCAGTTTTGTCCCATCCCAAACTTAGCTGTAGACATGCTAGGGCAAAGGCGAGCGCCAAGTGCGCAAGCGAGGACGGGAAAACAGCTGATTTCCTTATGTCCCATACTCATAGTTATATAGTTGTGAAACTGTCTGCTAGCCACTGACTTTACATAGGCATCAATCAGCAATCAGCGGTAGCACCAGTAGCCTATTACCATTGACTATATAAACACTAGTGTTAAAGTTAATATAGGCAATGCTATTACTGAATTCGATACTATAGGCTACATATTGTGACAGATCTATGAAATGGAGAAAAACGTAAGGTTAAAAAACGTGTCTACTTGCTTGCATGGCATATTGAAATGGAAGGTGTTATGACAATTGGGCACAGTTCTAAGGCTTTTAGGAGATATGGCTTCGTAGTCTACAGTAGGCCTATGTTTTGAAATTCATGAATGCAAGTTCGTCATAGTTTGATTTTTAAAATGTCTACTTGCTCATGACAAAGACAAAGAAATAACGAGTGAAACGGGAGGTTTTTGGACAGTTGGACACAGATATAGACATTAATAATGGCTTTAGAAAGTCAGTAAACAGCTTTTGTGAGGATACGGCCGTAGCCTATCCACACAATCGTAGCGTATGCTTTGAGATTTATGAATGCAATCGTCATAGTTAGTTTTAAGAATGTCTACTTATTCATGACAAATAAATAAGGAAATGTGAGGTTTTGCACACAGTTCTAGACGTTAAAACTGGCTGTAGAAAGTCACCCAACGGCTTTTAGGAGAATATGACCATAGTCTACAGTGTGTTTTGAAATTCATTAATACGATCGTCATAGTTTAATTTTTAAGATGTCTATTTGCTCATGACAAACAACAGGTGAAATGGGAGTTTATGGACAGTTGGGCACGGTTTTAGGTGTTAAAAATGGCTTTAGAAAGTCACCAAACGGCTTTGAATATTCCAAATTTTCCCGGGGGAGGACCCCCAAACCCCCTGCCTTATTGGGGGGTGTGGAGCACCTCCCAAGCCCCCCGGAGGACCCCCATTTGTCCCCCCCAAAGTGTTGATGCTGACGACGCCAATGCCTTTACGTTGTTTATGTATCAATAGTTCGTGGTCTATTTTGATAATTTTTATTCTGAATTACCAATCTAAATCGTCTATGTACTTTTATATAGTAAGCCGCAATTTCGATAACATTTCGGGTCATCTTCGGTCCAAGCAAATATAAATTGTTATGATAAAATTTAATGACATTAACAAAGATTTCAAATACTAATTTTATATGTAGGCCTACTTCGTTATGCTTAAAGCGTAGCAAATTCCTTCATTAAATTCTGTATTTTTGTGTGTATGTCTGTTGGTAATGCATTAATGTCCTTATTTCTCAGTGTTTCACGGAATGGACTAGAGCACCTTTGATAATGAAAATGTTAACCGGAATAAAGTGTTTAATGGTGAGGTTGATGTAGTACTTTAAATATGTTTAACCATTGTGGAAAGTAACTTTCAATTATAGGCCTACCTTTTTTTTCAGGGAGAGGAGGGAAAATGCTTTTACGCACACAGGTAGCCAGCCTGTAGTGTGAGACTCCTGAAAATTGTCAGACTACTCACTAAAAAACCCCCTCTACTCTGTTGGACACAGACCTGGAATTGTTTGTCACATTACTTCAAGTCAGGCCAACATGTGACCTAAGCCCTCAGGGCTCGCACCGTTTCTGGCATTTCGATTCTTAATGACCTACAACCGCATCCCGGTCAAGGTTGATCTTCTTGGCGCGGAGAATACCCTGGATATAATGTGACACACAGGTCCAATTGTCCTCACCCTCCGTCATAATCGGTATGACCGTGTCCACCGACAGCAGTAATATTAATTGTTGAGCCTCCAGGCGGGGCCTTTCCCAGCGCTGGCAGTGGAAAAATGTATGTTCCACGTCATCGAGAATGCCTGGGCAGTATATGCAGTCGGGTGACACGGCTTTGCCCATCCTGAACAGGTACGACCGGAAAAAGCCGTGTCCCGTCAGAAATTGGGTGAGGTAGAAGTCCACCTCTCCGTACCGCCAATCAACCCAAGGTTGGACTTGCTGTATCAGTCAAAAGTTTGACGGGGATGACTCCAGCAATCACCAGGACGGCGAGCTCGGACACTGTTCGGTAGGCAGATGCTACCCTCAGTGCTGCCTGACGCTGCACTCGGGCGAGCCGCATCCTGTATGCCTCCTTATTTAGTGCGTCTGCCCACACCTCCGCACCGTACAAGAGTACGGACTGGACCGAAGACATTAACAGCCTTCTACGACTGGACCGAGGCCCTCCGACATTGGCCATCAACCGGCTAAGAGAAGAAACCACCCTAGCGGCCTTGTCCGCTGTACGGAAGATCTGATCCCGCCAGCTAAGCTTGCTGTCTACCATGACCCCAAGATACTTGGCAGAACGAACAGTTTGAACCTCGACGGCTTCCACCCTCAACGGCACGATGGTGTCAATCCGTTTTTTTGTCAAAATCACGATCTCGGTTTTGCTCAGAGCAAGCGAGAGACTGTGGTCTGCCATCCATGCGTTTATGGTACGCATAACTCGGTTTAGCTTTAGCTGAGCCAGCTCAACGCTACGTGCAGCTATCAAAGCTGCAACGTCGTCTGCGTACCCAACCAAGACTATTTCCTCAGGCATTTCAGACCTCAGAAGGCTGTCATAAGCGACGTTCCAGAGGTCTGGGCCGAGTATGGAACCTTGGGCAGCACCAGAAGTGACACTCATCGTCCGCGGGCCCTCCGCAGTGTCATACGTTAGGAGGCGAAACCTATAGAAACCTTATAGGCCTACCTTAGGGCTATGCCTCATGGATCTATAAAGCATTTTTTTAGTTTAATCATTGGATTTAACATATGGACCAACACGATCTGGGTGACATTTAATTGTGAAGCATTTATTTTGGCTTGAACTGTCAGATACTGTATTTGCGAAGGTTTATATAAAATAGTTTTGCCAGCATATCTGCAAATATGCAAACCAACTGCTTTTCTTAATATAAGAAGGTTTCAACTGACTACTTTAAGATCCCCGTGCGGGCACACAGCTAGTATTAACTATGAACAAATTAAAGAAATAGATTATGTTTTAAAGCAACTTTTTTCATAACCCAAGTAGCAGAAAAACGAGAAATTTTTTTTTTTATATCAATTTTAAACTTATATTAAAACTGTTATTAATATGAGTATAGTTGACAACCGGCAAAATTTAAAATAGTTCAAAAATTGTTTTACAACTATATTGCAACAATTTTACAACAATTTTAAAATTGACTTTGCAACAAGTTAAAAATTGTTTTCACATAGGACCAACCAACCCATGGGCATATCCTACATAAACACAAAATAATAAAGATTTTGTATGAAATGCATATATATCAGTTGAGCATTTTGATTAAATAGTTCAAAAAAACAAATTTTGAGAAAAAACTAGAATCAAAATTATCTTCCCCCACCGGGTCTTGACCCGGGTCCTCAAGACTGTGAACCCCTTACATTACCTCTGAGCTATCTGTGGTTGTTGATATTTCATGTTTAATGCTAGCAGTGCTGAGTGTGGGAACTGTCTGTGGCATTCATGTATCTGCAATTCTAAAATGGTACAGGGAAGGAGGGCAAACAGGTCCACGACGTAGGGAGTGGTGAAGTAAGTAGTGAAGGTGAGCAGTGTGGAGATTGGGAGTGGATTAATGTATCTGCAATACTTTTCAGAGTAAACGAATAATTTTCCCCGAGCAAAGCTCGGTCCCCAGGTACTATTTTTGATACTATGATTGTTTAGGCCTCAAGTTGTTGAATTGATTTTCTGGGAGTTGAGGTGGATATCGGCATTTGAATGTAGATGAATTAATTAACATTGCTAATGTTATTATAATTATTGTTATATGATTAATTCATCTCCCCCCTTAAATTGTTCAACTACTAAAAATTTGCTCAAATAACTGAAATAAAAACAACAAAAATATTTGCATTATTATTATTATCATATGTTAAACAGGTGTTCCATTACTGTATCTAGTATCACAACTATCACAATTAACGTCATCGGTAACTTATCACAAAAATCGGTAACTTATGCATTATGAATTTACCTATTCAAGTAGCCTAATTCAATATTCATAATGTAATAACTACTACGAAATTATAAAGAATTGTATTATATAAAAAAAATTCTTTATAAGAAGAATTATTTAATTGCTATGCTTTACCTGTACAATTAACATAAATTTTTATTAATTTTTTTGTCTCACCCTATGGTATTCTTGGCTTCTTTTGTAGGCCTAGACATCAAATTGAAAGAGTATATGGGCCCCGTTATAGGTAGCACCATGAGACCTACGGTAATAGCTTATTCCCTAAGGAATTTGCTAAAAATTAGCATAATTTTAACTCACCTCTGCATCATTACTTTTCTCAACCAACTCTTGAACATAGTTTTCACCAAAGTGTCTCTGACCACAATCATATGCAGCAAATATTAGCTCCTTTGGTTTAGTTTTACTCACTGCCACTAATCTGGGTTTTATATCCGGTAGACCCTGAAAATTAACATTACTAGAAAGAGTAGAAAGCATATGTACACTTTATTGAAAAACAGTTTGGTCGTGAGTCACTTAGTGTGGCCGCCTCCATTTAATTTAATGATACGCACATTCATTCATTGTCGCCGCGACAAAGTCGCCAAGTGTGGCCCTAGCCTAAGTCATTTTTGGCCAAGAATGGGATCCCTATGTTTGAGCATTAACCCTACTCTACTAGACTTTTTTATATTCCTCAGAGTTAAAAGGAAGCATTCAAAGGAACCAGTTTAAGATAGTGAAGTGGAACTTGCATAAAGGAAAAAGCGACGGAGACCATGAATGTTAATACTTTACTTAGGCCCTAACTTTATTTTTCGATGAAATGGCGACCACACAAAGTAGGTATTTTAAGCCAAGTATGAATGGAGATGAGTGTAGGATGAGTGGCGCGATCTTGTAGTCTTGTTAGTAACTAAGGCCGACATATTCCTTAGGCACAGCTGTTAATTAATAGCCCATAGAGCTAATGGCAACTAAGGGACCTACAGTTTATAGTAGAATCCGAACCTCATTTTTGCCTTGGTATATACGAATTGGTCTAATTATCAGGATAGTACTGCAGATAGTCGTAGTTAAGAGTCCTTGGAGCCTAGACGTTCTAACTCGTTAAACAATTCAAAAACGACAAAGACAATTTCTAATCTCTCAGTATCCTAGATATTTAAATCACTCTTGTGCTTGAAAAAATATATTGAGATGGTAAATAGCTCTTCAGCGGCTGTTTGAAATTAACGAAATTAACATTGCTGTTATGGCGGGCAAATGAAAATGGCCGCTAGCTTCCATGGACCCCCTTGGAGAACAATTATACATTACATTGTAGAATTGACAGGCAAATGAGTAATCCAAATGTATTATTGCTTACTGGCTTAATGATAAATGAAGATCAGCTGTATTGAAGTAAATAAAAATCAGCAGTAAATGGCTTCTAATGCTATTCTTGTGGAGGACATTTTACGTTATATCTCGTTTTCTGGTAACTTTATGGGAATTCTACTATTTTTCCTGAGTCCCTGGGGTCAAGACCTTTAATTTAAGACCCCTCCCACTTTTCTGTGACTTACCAGACATCCACAATTTTCCGGTAAAAATTTTGTCTTACAGAATTATATATAAGGATAATTTGTTATTTATTATGGGTGTAGCATAGAGCACAAGGGCCTAGATTTTTTAGGATTTTTTGAGAGGATAGCAGGCTTACCTGAATGGGAAAGAGTCCAAACTGGCACAGGAAACACAAAACATAACTTTGCACTATATACACAAAACATTAGAATATTTCACTGTCACTGACAGCATTTTCAACTAAGGAAGAGAGAGTTTTTTTTTTTTTTTTTTTTTTTTTCCTGGCCACCAAAAAACTCTCTCTTCCTTAGTTGAAAATGCTGTCAGTGACAGTGAAATATTCTAATGTTTTGTGTATATAGTGTAAAGTTATGTTTTGTGTTTCCTGTGCCAGTTTGGACTCTTTCCCATTCAGGTAAGCCTGCTATCCTCTCAAAAAATCCTTGTTATTTATTATGTTTATTATCTATACTATTATATAAAAATCTAATGGTGTCTGTCTGTATGTGTATTACTAATAGGTGCAAAAACTACTGAACCAACTGGGCTTAAATTATACAAAAACAGGGTGTCCACAGAAAATTTTTCATTAATTTCCATGACTTTCCATGACTATCCATGACCATTAGCCATTGATTTCCATGACTCATGAACTTTAGTCGAAAATTATAATATAACATACACACACGAATAATACTGCCCAGACAAGCTATTTCGCAAAAAATACTGAATTATGTATTAAGAGATAACAATGGAGTACAATAGGTAGAACAATGAAGTACGGTAATACAGACTCAAAACTAATAAACTAATACAACTGTTATAAATTGAATTGTCAAACATTTATGAAAACTCCTGAAAAATGCTAAAATAGCCGGGGTTAAGGCCGTCTAGAGCCTTCAAATCCATCCAACATTGGGGATTTCCATGACTTTCCATGACTTTTTGCCTATTTCCATGACTTTTAATGACCACAATTTTTTTCCATGACTTTCCATGACTATCCCTGACTTTCCAGAATGTGGACACTCTGAAAAATATAGCTACCATACCAAGTACCATTATAGGACTATTCACATTTCGATACTGACCGTAGGCTTTGCCCCTTTGGCTCTAAAAATTCTGAGGTGAACATATTAGGCCCCTATTAGACGAGGTAGCCTGGCGACGTCGCCAGTGACAGTAGCTGGCGACGCACTGGCCACCAAACCTAGTAGCCAGTTGAGTAGCTAGAATTTTACCGCCGTTATTCATTTTGTTGTGAGTGCTTGTCTTGTACTTGTACTTGTTATGAGCTGTATGTTTACAGTGAATAATGAGTGATTATAAGTATCTTCTTATAAGTCTTCAGTGTTCAACTTTGTGTCGGCCAACTTCTGACACTTTTTCATGAGCTCTTCTTGACTAATTTAAATGTAATATTGCTTACTTGCTTAATGATAAATCACGATCAGCTGTATTGAAGTAAACAAAAATCAGCAGTTTCCAAACGCCTTCTAATGCTATTCTTATAGAGAAAATTTTACGTTATATCTAATTTTGCATTAAGATTTTGGGAATTTCACTAATTTTCCCGCCGTCACGGGATCGAGACCTTTAATTTGAGCCCTCTCCCGTCGTTCTACGACTTTCCATTCGCCCACAATTTTGACGCAAAGAATCGGCTTACGTAATTAATATATAGATGTTTGAACCAGCTGTGTGGAATCAATTGTGAAATCAAAATTCATTTGACAGTTAGTTCTGCTTGTTTACATTTTTAAACTTTGTAGGTTTGTTCTTTGTCACCATGGATACCATCAATCAATATTTACTTTTAAATCTCTCACCTCAGACTTTTAAAAGCCTTTTAAAAGTCCGAAGAGGCGCCCCTTCTCTCTTAAAAAATACAAAAAAATATTGTTACTTGTTAGAAGTTATCAAATGTTCTTCGTAACGTTTTGTTTACATTTTCCAAACTAGAGAACTGTGTTTATAAAGGCATACAACCTACTGTAGTCTATTTGTAAGTTCAGTTACGTTGTTGTAGTGTATAGTAATAGTATGTTTTATCCATGGTAACAACATCGTCTGCGTAGTGACTTGTGTTGTGGTTAGCATACAACAGCAAAATTATGCTGTATCATATCAGCTGATTACTCAGCATAAAGACGGCGCAAAAAGACAGGAAAAGAAGAAATAGATACTGTACTTGAATCTTTCCGGTAGGGATGTGCCGATTCTCGATGCCACCGATTCTGGAACATTGGTATGTGTATCGAGAATAATATTGATCGTCAAGAGTCAATGCCGCTACCGATACCTAGAAGTGGATGGGAATAATTTGAATGCGAAAATCAATTTACGAAATTCAGCCATAGAATTTCAAAATTTGTTAACACTATCGCATCTAAAAAGCAGTAACATAAATGTCAGCTACGTAGCCTTTATGCTTGCATTAATGCACGAGAAACACGGCTATCACATAAATCAAACTGTTAAAATTTTTAACTCAATTTCAGTGAGTACGGCTAGTATTGTTTAATGGACAATTCAATGTCACTTAAGCAGCTACTGCATCGTCTTCCCTACAAAAATATTGTGATAAAGGGCATTAATAGTATGCTCTATTGGAAAGAAAATTCTATTTTAAATTCATGTTTTTAAGAACATAATAGCTTTGACTATTAATACAACTACAGTAGACATTCCATCCCCATATTAATTTTGTAGCCAGATTTTTTAAAGTTTATTATTTTGGTTAGTAAAATAAATCTCAGTTACTAAGTCTAACTAAAGATGTAGCCTATTTTGTCAGATCAGCAAAATAATTTAATCGTGTTCTAAGAAGGCCTACTACATGGCAAAATATAAGCAGTTGGAATTTAAACAACTACATATAACTTGGTTATTACACTGGTAAATACAACCATAGACTAATCAACAAAAGGGGGCTTCTTGACTTTCTTGTAAATTTTGAAGGTAATCTTTTTTCATGTCTAGTTCATGTTGGGGACACTGATTACTAGTGTCAACAAAATTTTGTTTCTATTATTTTACGGTTAATTTTGTGATTTTTGCTTTACTTTTCGGTTATATAACTAGGGGACGAGTTATTGTTTATGATTACATCGTTTAATTTGGTTAATTGAGTTTTTAAATGGCTGAAGTAACAAGAAACAAATTGTTACAAAACACAACCTCTAAAGTACACTGGACAGAACTAACAGCAAAATTAATTGTCCTCAGCTGATCCATAAGGATGAGAAATCTAGAGGTCCGTGAAGTTGGCGTACCCATATTAGCGTATCCACTTTTGATCATACCAATCGTTAGTTCATCGTTAAATGAGTTCGCCAAAACTTTTTTTAAGAACTTAACAGGAAATCAGTTCTCGATAGTTCCCAAATTTTTTCGTTAGTTCTCAAAAAATAAAAAAGTTATAGCCGATAATAAGTGGGTACGCTAACTTCACACTTCCGGGTTCTAGCGCGCGCCGTTTTCTGATGAGAAACGTTTACATCTATATATCAATCGTTAGTTCTTCGTTAGTCCTCGATAGTTCTCAATTTTTTTTGTTAGTTCTCAAACAATAAAAAAATTATGAGGCATACAAAGTGGGCTAACTTCACAATTGTACAATTTCCAGCGGGCACAGTTTTCTGACTATAAATGCCTATATCTATATACCAATCGTTAGTTCTTCGTTAGTTCTCGATAGTTCCCCAATATTTACGTTAGTTCTCAACAAATGAAAAAGTTACGAGGCATACAAAGTGGGTACGCTAACTTCACAACTATACAATTTCCAGCGGGCACCGTTTTCTGACTATAAATGCTTATATCTATACCCCAATAGTTAGTTCTTTGTTAGTTCTCAATAGTTCTCATATATTTACGTTAGTTCTCAAAAAATAAAAAAGTTACAAAGCATAAAAAGTGGGAACGCCAACTTCACAATTATAGAATTTCCAGCGGGCACAGTTTTCTAAATAAAAATGCTTATATCTATATACCAATCGTTAGTTCTCGATAGTTCTCCAATATTTACGTTAGTTCTAAAAAAAAAAATAAAAAAGTTAAGAGGCATACAAAGTGAGTACGCTGACTTCAAAATTATAAAATTTCCAGCGGGCACAGCCTGTCTAGAGTGACAGGCTACAGCAGAGCACCAACTAAGAACACTTCCTACATCCGGAACACCAAGAGGCCCAACCTCGAAGCAGTGAAAAACGACCTGAAGAATGGTGTTATAAACCTGGACCGCGACTGCACTGACATTGATTCTGCTTTCTCCAGCTGCTGCAACCAACTTAGTGATTATATCAGATTCCACTCTCCTTGGAAAAGAATAGGACTTTCTGCTTTCCCTCGCTGGTTCTCCAAAGAGCTAAAGGATTTAGTTGTACTTAAAAAGTCGCTACACAGGCAATACAAGGAATCACATGACCATATTGTGTATGAACGTTTCTGCAGAGTACGGGCCCACTGTAAAGCGATGGCCAGGGATTGTCGTTCCAGATACATCGGTTATGTTAACTCTACCATCAGCTCTAATGTTAAAGTGTTTTGGAGTTTCTTGAAGCAACTTGATAGAACATCGGTGGATCCCTCTGTGATGGGAGATGGTACTACAACTACGTTCCGCCCAAATGAGATGTGTGAGCTTTTGCAAGTTACTTTTCCTCGGTCTACTCTCATTCAACTCACATCGCCTACACACCGCTAGCTGACAAAACGTCCTTCGTTCTGGCTAGTTGTTCAGTGTCAGCTATAGAAATAGACAACAAGCTCATGAGGCTTGACCCTTCAAAATCCTGTGGTCCTGATGAGGTGACTCCGGGAGTTCTAAAATACTGCCACTCAGAGCTAGTTTCCTACTTGCACTTTCTCTTCAATCTCAGTCTGGAACATGGTATCTTTCCAGCAGTATTGAAACGGGGATATGTTATACCCATATTTAAGAGTGGTGATAGGCAAATGGTCACGAACTACCGACCAATCGTGATCTTGTCAGATCTAAGCAAGGTCTTTGAGAGCTTGATACTGGACATCTTACAACCTCTATTCAAGAATGTCTTAATAGAAGAACAACACGGCTTCTCCCCAGGTAAATCAACCGTCACAAACCTTCTTTCCTTCCAGAGTCAAGTAATGTGTGCCTTCAACCACCGGTGTCAAGTGGATGCAATTTACATTGACTTCAGCAAGGCATTTGACAAGATCAACCACCACCTCCTCCTGGCAAAGCTTGAAAGCTATGGGATAATTGGTACCATGCTGAACTGGTTCGAGAGCTACTTGGCTGACCGCATGTTAATCACTCAGTTTTCTTCCCATCGATCCTCAGGATTCATCGCAAGCTCTGGTGTTCCCCAGGGATCACATCTGGGACCACTTCTGTTTTCAGTATTTATCAATGATATTAAAGACGTCATTGATATTCCTTTCCTCTTTTTCGCTGACGACATCAAATTGTTCAAGGAGGTGAAATCACGTCATGACTGTTTACTGCTACAGGTAGCTTTAGAGAGTGTTCATCAATGGTGCTCAACGAACGGGATGTACATCAATCAAGCTAAAACCAAAGTGATAACTTATAGCCGGATCAACGTCATTGAATACGACTATGCCTTGGTTGGGAACCGGCTGGAGAGATGCAGTCGCATGAAGGATCTTGGGGTCACGATTGATTCCTCCTTTGAGTTTGGACACCACATTGGTGACATATGTGCCAGGGCCTGCCGCACCCTTGGCCTGGTTATTCGGACGGTAAATCACGGGCTGGATTCCGTAGCAGCTACCATCTTATACAAGTCCCTTGTCCGTCAGCTACTTGAGTATGCTTCGGTTGTATGGTCTCCTTTACAACTCGGCCTCACAGATCAGCTAGAGTCAGTCCAAAGACAATTCATCAGGTTCCTGGGACGCCGAGAGGGGTTCAACTACTTAGAAGTCCCCATTGATGTCATCTCAGAATCCTACGGGCTGCAGCCATTATCATGTAGAAGACGAGTAGCAGATGTGTCCTTCCTCTACAAGCTCCTCAACAGCAAGGTAGTTTGTCCTTACCTCCTGGAGAAGATGAATTTCAGAGTGCCCACCATCAGGACTAGGGAGCAGCGTTTATTTGAGCTGGAGCATGCAGGAAGAAGTTACCTCCAGAACAGCCCTATTCCAAGGCTCATGCATTCCGGCAACTACGTCTCGGCTTCAGTGGACCTTTTTCATGACAGCCTAGCAGCCATCAGGCGTTCTGCGGCCGCATCCTGGTCCCCTGCCAATGAAACCTAGTGTGTCGGACCGTTGTTATTCGTCATTTGCTATCTTTTTCGTTTTCTGTAAATTTATTTATGTTTGAGTTATGTTATCGTTTGTTTAATACTGTTTTGTTGGATCAAATATTTACTATTGTTATTGCTTTTTCATATTCTATTTCGACTTCATTGTTATATTATAGCTTTCCTAGCCAAAGATTTATCTTGCTTTTGCTGATCGATTGTTTAACTGTATTGTCAGTCCGAATTCTTACCTTTTGTTATTGCTTTTTCACAATTATTTTGTACTTCATTGTTAAATTATTGCTTTCCTAGTCAAGATTATATTTCCTGTTACCAATGTTGCTCTGCTCCTGCCATAGATTTAAGTTAGTTGTTAAGTTTTCTGTTAAAATGCATGTTGTTACCACATAGGCTTCTTGAATCCACATTGTAAATTGGTGATATTGCCGTTGGAATAAATAAATAAGACAGTAATAATAATAATAATTTAAGACTATTAAGCTTCCTCAACCAACAATGAGTGTGAGAACTGCACGTGTAGCAAACGAATATAATTTTGCTATTACCTTGTAAAATTTAGCTACAAATAATGTGAATCTAAAACATTTAATGAAGAATTAGTTCCAATAGAAATAAGAGCTGTTTTTATCAACTCACATGCATAACAATTTTTGTAAAATAAAAAATTTCATTTTACTTAATTAGTGTGTTCAATTGTACCCCACTTCTTGTTCAAAAGTACCCCACCAGTGGGGTACTTTTAGTAGGGTCTATGGTACAAAAACACCAGTGGGGTTCTTTTGAACGATTTGCATACCTTTGTGAAAACAGATGCACATTAACATGTTAACTTGGAGGGTTTAAAAAATAACTAAATTAAAGCTAACATTATTTTACAACTAAATGTAGGCTAATAATGTTTTTATTAAAAACACATAAATTCACCTATTAAAAAATTAAAGTTTAAAAAGTGTTCAATGTGCCCCACTCTCCCCCTAAATATATATAGGCCAATACCGGTATATGAATTTGACAAATTGTGTTTTTGGCCTCTGGGGACCTCAGAACGAAAAAGTAAATCGGTCCCGGGTCAAGGTCTTACCATGAGACCTGCGGTACGGTAATAACTTATTCCCTATATGGGAAATTTGCTAAAAAAATCAAATGAAGGTTTATGATAATCCAATTGATATTTTCAATCGATAGTAGGTAACTTACCATAAGTTTTAACCCAGTTAGGAAACTGTAACTTAACTTAAGTTTAACCTTCACCTTTTTACAAAAGTTTTGGGAGTAATTAGGCTAATTAGGCCTAACTTAACTTATATCCTCCTCCGGACCTCATCCATAAAAGAATTTTCTTTTCTCCAAAAAAAATCCTAAATTTCAAGCTGATCCAAAATCGATTGTTGTTTTTTTGCAGAAACGACCCGTTTACCCAGGAAATCAGAAAAACCCGTAAAATTACATTGTGGGTAAGCTTAGGCCTACTTACTCAACTTGTTCGGGATTTCATCCTGAACAAGTAAATGTAATTTTTATTAGGGTAAGATCAGAATGCTACTAAGTTCAATAGGCCTATCGCCAGAAAAGCGTGCCGTTAGCACCAGTACTTGTTTTATATTTACAGGCAACATTTGCTGAGGGGTGACTCCTTCGTTCTTGTGGAATGTAGGCATTGTTTTGTTAGGTTAGGTTTTGTTACCGATTAATTTAGGCTAGGGCCTACTTACACGATGGAATTAACATAACTTAAGTTATAAGCTTTGTTCCAAGTTTTGTGTAAATAAGCGGGACTGCAGCTGTAAATATCCTAGTGGTTATTTAAGTTAACCAGTTGTATTGAATTTGTGGACCAGGGTCAACAAAATAGGGAGTCCCAAATGAGGGTACAGTTTCTTAACTGGGCTATGCTAATATCGATTGAAATCGAATCGATAGTTTCAATCGATAATAGCATAGCCCAGTTAAGAAACTGTACCCCCAAATGATCACAGAGCAAAGATCTCATGACCAAACTGACTAAACTTACCTGTATTTTATTCTGGTATGCAGATTCTACTTTGCTTAGTATGCATTTTAATGCCTGGCGAACATCACTGTCACACATTTTCAAAAGTGACATTTAGTTAGTTTTAAAAACAGTGAACAGATCAAATGATAGCCTTTTAGGTTAGAGTTAGGCTATAATAGACCAATTTCTTAAAACTGAAATGCAATTAGTACAATACAATACAATATCCAAAACCAAATGTTTCATCTAAATCTTTAAAAAATTATAAATTCAGTTAACTATTATGCACGAGAAAAAAATTAAAAGTAACAGGCCTTACACCGTCCGTAACTAACTGCTTATCATTTTTACAATAATCTGTTAATAATAAGGTTAAGTTAAGATAAGATAATTGCTGTTTGTTATCTTATCTTCTGCTTGTTTTGTTCTGTTGTTGTTGTTTGTTGAGTCAACATCACTTGTTTTTTTTCCTTGCCAATAAGGTGGTCTGGGTATTTTTATTCCATGAGACTTCAATGTTCTCTGTGGTTGTCCTTTAGTAAACACAATCTTATTTTCTAGATAAGTCAATATAGGCGAATAAATTGTTTGTTAGTAAAAAACATAGATGTGGTATATCGTTGTGCATGTTGTTTTTGTTAATTAAAAGTGGGATTCGGGATTCTAAAGATTTGACGGATTTCATGAAATGGAAGATTGAGGTGACTATTAATAATAATAATAATAAAACGTCTTTTATTTAAAGCGGTTTTCAGTAACAATACTGTTTTTCAAAACTACTCAAGTCAATACATACAAAAGAAATATTACAATAACAATAAATGACTTATTAACTAACACCTTAACTTATATTTACAAAAGACATTTTTTGGAGTTCGGTCGAAAAGCTTTATAACTAAGTTTTTTTACATTCTCTGGCAGTTGGTTGTATTTCTGAGGAGCAAAAAAAGAAAATCCTTTTTACCATATTCTAACTTCTAACTGGACGCGAGGCAAGTGCAGCAGGCCATCCTGTCTTGTACTCCTCTCTCTCACATCTCTCCTAATTTTTAACTTATCTTTCAGATAAGTCGGTCTGCTAGTGTTGGTGACCCTATGAACAATAGCCACAGTCTCTAACAAACATTCCGTCTGCACAGGCAACATCCCACTTTGCTTTCTGAAGGAAGATATGTGGTCAAATTTTCTCAAATCATATACAAATCTTAATGCATCGTTTTGTAAACGATTTATCAAATTAGTTTGTTCAATTGACAGACTGAAACCAAAGGCAGGCAAAGCATTATATAGCATATTCTCTGCTTAGGGCCTATCAAGCAATGTCCTAACCCGAAACAAGGTTGGCAACGGATTAAAGCACCCAAAGGATTGAAAACATGTACTTGTTGAGCTGTATTTAGTGTTCTATGTTCTATGATATGGGTTTGCAAGTTATTATTTATTCCTTTCTTTATAGTACAGGTAAAACTCACCTAAGAAAACATAAACATATTAGTCCGTTCATGGAACTTGCAGGAAACGTAGTAATTACCATTGTGATTGTGGGGGTGGAAGTACCATTTTATGGGGTTTTAAGTTTATGGGGGTAGTGATTTTGGGAAAATTTTTATTTATGGGATCCAAGCAAGTGGGCGTGTCGTTTTCTATGTTTATTAGGATGCAGAATCGAAAAAGAACATAATAAAAGCAATAAAACAGACAGTTTATTAGAAAAAAAACTAATTTATTAATGAAAAACTAAATATGACAAATTAATTAAGGTAAAATAATCCAGTTAATTAATATCAATTACCTATTACAAAATTGATCATGAGTCTGTGTTGAGTGAAAATTTAAAAACGTACGTTTTCAGGAAAAGCACTTCATTGACATTTGAAGTTTCATAAAATGTCCAAGGTAACGCAATATCTTTGGGGATTTTTTATTAATAGAGCATCTTTGATGGAAAAACACAAATTTTTGTCACGACCATCACGGACATAAAACTGAATATTAAAAATAGTTAATATTATTTTTATAACTATGTTTTGCTATAAATTAATTTACTTTTATGGCCATTATACAATAAACAGCTCACTAAGCTTTTGGTATATTTGGTCTTTCTAGAAAAAAATATAAAAACTAAAAAAAATTTAAAAAAAGCCAATAAAATCTTTTAAGTTTGTATAACTCCGAAAAAATTTACCTGAGACCCGAAAATGTTTTTATGTTCGTTAATGTCGTTATGTTTTTATAGAGGTGTGCTTCTTTTGTGTATAAAACATTAAAATATGATGATATTTTAATTTTTGAAATTTTTATGATAGAAATCATAAACGTGATGGTCAGGGACAAGCGGTACGGTCGTGAATTGTCTGGAATGATCTAAATATTTCTAAACAATCCTTCAATTATACTGTTAGTTATAATAAAACTATGTGTTTCAATTGAACTAAACTGTTCAATTTACAATGATATTTAAGTTATTGTCACGACCAAACCCAGTATAATCCATAAGGCTGGATTGGTCGTGAAAAAACCCGCGATGGTCGTGAAACTTTGGTCGTGACATTACGTGCTATTTGGCTCTGTTCTAGCGGTAGCCCTGCACCTCATGTTCGAGGATACAAAGTGGACTTCTAGGTTAATCTAGCAATTGAAATATCTCATAAACAAACATTAACACCGTGTCTACTTCATCGAATGACTGCGTACAGTCATGGACACACCCAAATTACAAAAAACACAAACTTGCCTTTATTGATCTTGTAATTCCTCCTTTCAACTCGAAACAACCGGCACTACAAACTTGACGTACACCCCGAACTAGTCTCTAAAACGAACTGACGCAATCGACGCCAGGCTTGCCACTGTCGTGCTCCAAAGTTGAAAATCTTTCCCAAACAGTCGTGACGCCAAATCGAGGGACAGACTTATTTTGTCATGGTAGTCAGTTTGCAATGACAATAAAATTATAACATGCTCCTTTTTTGTAAGTTTAATAACTATTGATGACATAAAAATATGGCATTATATATTTCGGCATGAATAATTAGTCTAAAAACAGTGTGAAAGATGGAAAATGTACACTAGGGACAAGTCATGGTCGTGAATTTTGAGACTTTAAAAATATGAAAAAAATATCTAGAACCTATTTAAAACCAAATAAATGTGTGTAACATTTGTCCCCGTCCCAAAAAATATTAAAACACATAATAATAAACTACAAATCCAGAATCTACGAAGTAAAAGGCCAGGGACATGAAAACGTACGTTTTTAAATTTTCACTCTGTCACATGTTAAAGTTGTGAGGAAAATTAACCAAGAAACTGGTAGTTACGCCTCTTTAACCACCACGTGTCATATTGTTCATCAGTTACTGATGCATCATCACCTTCCATGCTTCCATGGAATCTTTAGGGTCTCTAACTCGTTCTTCTCCATCATCGTCTTGACTTGACACTGACAGCTTATAGTAGTGGGGATGGGTAGCAGAAAAATATTTCAGTTCGGGCGGTGATCCTGCAACTTAGGGTGAAGATAATATATAAGACCAAGAATGTAAAACCACCCAGACCCCAAAATTTTTAAGGACCTAGGTCGCCCGTAATGACGTCATCAATATGGCACTCGTAAGAGGATGGTGGGTCGCTATGAATTGGTTATTATACCAAAATGCCTGAACCGATTTTAATGAAATTTGGCATACAAGTGCTTGAATACGATATCCTAATCCCAGTTTGTCAATGGTCGAGTTTGATTAGGTCATTTAAAAATGGCGGCCGTTAAGAATTAAAATAATTAAAAATTGTTTAATGTTTTGTTTTTTTAACTCTCTCCAGAAATCTGCAGCAATCTTTCATTTTCCTTGCAATCACAGGTTGTGATGCCGTCTCTGCATTTCATGGAATAGGCAAAATACCCCCACCGCAGCAAACCTGCAGATTAAGTGAGTTTCCATTTGCCTGATTTGATTTTCAATTAAATCTATTTCAATAACATTAAGTTTAATTAGTACCTAGGTTTGCTGCTACAGAGAGGATAATAAAGTGTGTTTTTTATTAAAATTGCTTAGGTCAAAATAAATTAATTTGCCAAGTTTTATCAAAATATATCTATAAACGAGCAAACTACAACAGTTTACTTATTTTCCATAAGAATAAAATGGGAATGTGAAATTTACAATTTTTGAATTTTCTCGGTAGGTAACTAATAACCATACAAAGACACTTCAATAAACAAAATTATTTGTTTTTTAAGGTATTCAAAAACATCATGGTATCCAAAATGGTTTAGAGAGAAATTGGAAAATTTGATGTGTAGAGTGTTAAACATGACAAAACCCAATTTTGACCCCATAAATCCCCCCAAAAAACCCCGTTCCCATGGTCTGATCATGCTGGATTGCGAACTCGTTAGAATCAATCCAAAGATTTGTTGTACTTTTCTATATTACATTACATCAAACTTTAACAGCGTAAATGACTGTAGACGTATACTTTTTAAAGGACGTTAGAACGATAACTCAAGCAAAAATGACCCAATGTTGACGAAACTTGGTAAAAACGTGTAAACCTACGTTTACTCAAACGAGTTCGCGAACCAGCATGATCGGACCATGAGAACTGGGTTTTCTGGGGGATTTGGGGTAAAAATTGGGTTTTCTCATGTTTGCCCCTCTAAACGTAAAATTTTTGAATTTCTCTCTAAACTATTTTGAATACCATGATTGGTTATTTTGCTAGTTTATGGTTATATTTTGATAAAACTTGGCGAATTTATTTAACCTATTCATATTATAATAAAAAAAAAAAACACTTTATTACCCTCCCTGTAGCAGCAAACCTAGTTAACACTAAACTTAATGTTATTTTGAAATTGATTTAATTGAAAATCAAATCAGGCAAATGGAACAACACTCACAACTTTAACATGTGACACAGACTCATGATAAATTTTGTAATAGGTACGGTAATTGATATTAATTAGCTGGATTATTTTACCTTAATTAATTTGTCATATTTAGTTTTTCATTAATAAATTAGTCTTTTTCTAATAAACAGTCGGTTGTATTGCTTTTATTATGTTCTTTTTCGATTATGCATCCTAAGAAACATAGAAAACGACACCCCACTTGCTTGGATCCCATAAATAAAAATTTTCTCAAAATCACTACCCCCATAAACTTAAAACCCCATAAAATGGTACTTCCACCCCCACTATCACTAGGGACTCTTCAGATTCCAAAACCTAATGGTAATTACTACGTTTCCTGCAAGTTACATGAACGGACCAATTTTTATGATTTCTACTGGTTTTTTAGTATAATTTTACCTGTACTATTATTGATTTTAAGTAGGTATATTTGTTTATTTCAGTGTGGATTTTTACTTTCTCCCCCTATAGTATATGGAGAAAAACTAGTATTGTTTTCGT